TTCTATACCTGTTGTACGGCCAAAGTACTGTCCATTTCTTCAAATGGCTCATCAGGCCACTTGTACAAATCCTTCAATGGAAAGAATTAATGAGATTAATAGCTAATCATGATTAGTTTTTTGATGTGTGGTCAATATCAGAAATGGACTATAAACATTCAACATTTTGATAGAGTAATCATTAGTCTCTCTGTCATGAAACATGAGTCATGGGAAAAAGCCAAATAAGGGCTGCGACAGGAGACTCTCCTTAGCACTCACAACAAGAATGTATGTCACAGCTTCCACCTCCCTTCCCCTCCCCTACCCCTCCCCCCCCCTACCCCCAGTATGTAAAAGATGCCAGTCACRACCAACAAGAAATAACACTGAAAGGAAGTTTATAGGGGGAGTCAAGAGAGGAGTGTAGAGAGTGCCTTGAAAATTATCAATTTGTTGTTTRTTTGCGATAAAAGGTTTTGTTCCCTACTAATAAGCACCATCCTCAAACTTTGTTTGCTAGATTCTTTTAATACATTTGTTTATCTTTCACAATAAAGAGAGTATAAACATATTTGTATTACATAAATACTATTTCAAAATGAAAAGGCGGTTCACAACAAGACTGCCGTATGCTTCATAAATAGTCTGACAGTAGGGAACAAATGTCATGCATTTAATAAGGTAATAAACATTCAAGAACAACTCAAGAACAGAACCCTAAGTTAAGTATAAAGTACTAACACCAAATTACAATAAAATACTCACTGCAGCCTTTGTACCAGGCCTATTTCTTCGTATAATCGTGTGTTGAGATACATCAGCCGCCGCCATCTTGAATGTGGAATTAACTGTTTCTAATGTTGGTCAGCGGTTATAAAGTATAAAACAATCTTTAGATTTAATTAAATTTATTATTTAGATATATTATTCCCATATCTTATTTAAGAGAGTGCATATAATTATAAAATAAGAAAAAWATATAAAAAGAACCGAAAGAAASAAASAAACAAACAAACAAAAAAWAGAAATCAATTTCTCGGTCCCAGGACCACWCTTCTCAAATAGGAGGATGAATAGGAATGCGCTTGAGGACTGCCASAAATATTCAAARCKATGATWTGGGTCAGGACGTTGAGGTGTTTAAAGGGAAAMGCCMTACGTAGRAAACTACACTGCACAAGTATGAAGTCCTTGCTTTGAATTTAATTGATCTTATCTCTAGGTAGTTTTACATTTTAATCGACTGGAAATCTCAAAATTAAGCTTAAGCTTAAGTTCCTGGCATAATTTTCGATTTAAAGTCAGTTATTAAAATTAACTTAATTTTAAGATATTTTACTGGTTGTTAGATCAGTTTCTGGGAAAMGTAATAACATTTATTCACCAGATATATATGTGTTGTTGTTTTTTTAAGCTTATTTGAAAAATGAATTCAAGGGTGGTGCTCCATTGACAGGTGTTAGAGTTCTTGACCTTACAAGGTAAAATACACGGTCWTTTTTTAACAAAACTCTTCTCCATCAGCTGAAGGCGTAAATGTAGGAGGTGGTGCTTCTTAGTGGGGTAGAGTGGTGATAAGTGACAAACCATTGAAACTATACATCCATTGGATCAAATTTACCCATAGCTTTTTATTTGAAAATTTAGTAATGAATCAATTTTRCAGGGTACTAGCTGGTCCATTTGCATCTATGCTTCTTGGTGACCTTGGAGCAGAAGTTGTTAAAGTTGAGAAACCTGGTAAATAGATGATTGGTATATTTACTGGAATTAATATTTAAAAAAAGCAAAATCCCATGCATTCCCTTATAGTTTCCATATATTATTTTTTTGTTCTCAGGTGAGGGGGATGATACAAGATCGTGGGGTCCTCCATTTGTTGGATCAGAAAGTACATATTTTTTGTCTGTAAATAGAAATAAAAAGGTAACTATTGGTTTTATTATTAAGTTTTCAAGTGGAAGAGCAAAAGGATTGGGATTCCTGTGTTATTTTTTTGTGTCAGGAAGAGGTAGCTATGCAGTGCATAGGCAGAGAATACAGATTATATCAATTCTAATCAGTTCTATGCAATCTAGTAGTAAACTATTTTATATTTGTGGTAAAAGACTTCAGACATTATACAAAGTTTTATTATTTATTTATTTTTTCATATGATTTCAGAGTATAGCAATAGATTTTAAAGACCCAAAGGGYTCAGAAATTATTAAAGAGGTAAGTATGAGACTTTTTTTTAAAAGCACTGAAAATATAGCTTATATTATTTCAACTAAATCTAATACAATCCCTTCAAAACAAAGCTTTTCAATAGCTATAGCCTGTTTTGTATCCAGGAAGTTCTGTCAAATTCAGAAGAGMTTTCTGGATGCAATGCAGGCTGAGATCTGATTAGTTAATTATCTTGAATGATTGGTTTTTAGTTAGCCATAAAAAGTGATGTTCTCTTGGAAAACTACCTACCAGGAAAGCTTGATAAGCTAGGACTTGGATATGAATCACTTAGAAAGGATAATCCATCTCTTGTTTATTGCTCAATTACTGGCTATGGACCAGGAGGTCCGTATGATCAGAGAGCCGGTTATGATGTTATTGTCTCTGCTGTTGGAGGCCTCATGAATATCACTGGTCCAGAGGTAATGTCTTTTTTAGCGAGCTGAAATGCTTCTCGGCAGGTGATAAAAGTAGATCTGTTCGCAGAGTAACTTTTTAAATTTTTCAATCATTGTGTTAAATAATTTTTGTTATGAGGATTTATTAATTCATTTTATTTGATTTCAGGATGGTGATCCATGCAAATCAGGTGTTGCATTAATTGATTTGGTCACAGGTTTATATGCTCATGGTGCAGTTATGGYGGCATTACTTAAAAGACAGAAAACAGGTCAAGGACAAAAAATTGACTGCTCCCTCTTAGCATCCCAGGTTAACTTGATATATTAGTCTGTTGATTATATACCTGTCTTATTTGAGTCATACAACATGTATTGTAAATGTTTAGGTTGCAGTTTTAAGCCATGTTGCCACAAGTTATCTGAATACAGGATTTAAGACAGGTCGATATGGAACTGCTCACCACAGTATAGTCCCTTATCAGGTAAATTAGATATAAATCATGTAAAAGACTCAAAGAAAATTAATTGTTACAGTCATAGAAGTGTCCTTATGGTCTACCAATTTTTTTGGAYGTCCTTTAGGCTGTGAAGGAGACTGTTCCTAAACAAACTTTTTCTTTTGTTCTATGGCTTTCCATCTGATTGTAGAACCATGCAATGACCTTGCCATAAATTAATGATTATAATAAAAATGATATGCCCATGAATTGCAAAAAGAGATAATTGCACACTTTTTACAGAGGTACTTTACAATCCCTTCCCTCAATATAGGCCTTCAAAACAAAAGATGGTCATCTCTTGGTTGGTGCTGGAAATGATGGTCTTTTCCAAAAATTATGCCAGGTAAGGTTTTTTTCTAGAAGAAGTTAATAAGAGTAAGTAACTAAATAAAAAACAAACGAAGAATGYAATATTTARAGTTTTTTAACAAYCACTACAGGTGCTTGATGTGCCAAACCTCTCAAAAGATAAYCRATTCCAGACTAACGACAAAAGAGTTTTGAACCGCAAAGTATTAATCAATGTTCTAGAGAAAAAGTAAGTAGATTCATATACTGAATATCTTAAAAGCGCATTTTTGATTAATATTGCAGTTGGCATGCTTTCATCCTGTTAGGTTTCAGAATAAAACAACRAAAGAGTGGCTGTGTTTATTAGAGGACAGTGGCATTCCGTATGGTCCTATTAATGATGTTGAACAAGTATTTGAAGATCCCCAGGTATAGCTGGCAGACGTTCTTGGTTTTTATTTGATCCCATCAGTTGCATGTGCATTTTGTTATGAGAAATATATTTTTCCAATAGTCTAGTTTAGAACTATACAGAATTAATGTTCTTTATGCKTTATTTTCAGGTAAAATACAAGGAGATGGTGCAAGAAATGGCCCATCCTTCCCTGGGAAGCGTCAAAGTACCAGGTACTAATTATTTACCATTGCAATTTTTAATGCATTTTGTAAACTGTGATATCCGATTGAAAATTTTAAAGCACAATTCCTTGAAAAATCAGGCAAAAAGTGGTGCTGATGATCCTGATGATTGTTCTTATCTTGTTTTGAAGGTCCGGCCGTGGAGTACAATGGCCAAACRTCATCATTCCTTGCATCTCCTCCTCCCTTGCTTGGACAACACACCAAAGAAATTTTACGAGATATTCTAGGTTATGATAGWGAACAAATCTCAAAGTTATTGCATTCAAAGTGTGTCGTCAGTCATGATATTGATGAAGAATTAAAAGGAAGTTGAGMAAACGCCGCAAAGAATAAATATTAATAGCCATAAATATTAATATATCTASACCACAGATAGCCCAAGCTCTACTGTGAAGGCTAAAACTTGAAAATACATTGAATAAAAGTCTTTAAAATTAAAATGCAGAATCTTATGTGTTTTAATTTTATTTCTTGCGTTCCTGGTTTGAATTTTCTTGGGTTTTATCTTAGAAGCTTGGACGTCAAATTGAACAGCGGGGCTACATTTTTTGTTTTGTTTATTGTTACTCTAGAATCTTTACCGCGACTTTACCACATWTTCAGTTTTTCAAGACCAAAACGATGATTTTACAAATCAAAACATAAATAGTCTTTGATCAGCTGAAAACAGTAATTTCATTACATGTAAAATGATATGTAAAAATTAAATAATAATAGTGCGTGACGTTGGACTTTGTAATTGCGTGACGTAAAAGCGCGGGAAAATACCTTTGCGCGGCCGTCCGCTTCTTCCGCCAAGAGCTGGTTTGTTTGCGATGCCAGCTGATGCCAGCTGTCAAAACTTGAAGAGGTAGGTGCTAATGCAATCACATTCTTGGAGCTACATAGCCGACTAAAAACCTAACAAATTTAGAAAAGCAGAATATCATCAATCCAGGAATATATTTTTACGTAAGTAACGTGAATCTGCATTTTGTAGCCTGCGTTCAGCCTGCATGCAGGCTAGTAGCTTAATTTTCTTTGATGCTATGCAAATAATAAGCTTATTAAGATTATATCTGTTCTATCTGTTCTCGACGAAGACAAATATGAGTACACTATTTTTTTCAAGATTTGTATCTTAACATTTGGCTATTTTTTCACCACTAGCTCTTATAAGTAAATGTGCTCGTGTTTCGCTCGTGTTCGTTTTTCAACTTTACTCCACGTTTAGTTGAGTTGAATTTCCTCTACAACAGAGAAATGGCAGCCGGCGATGATCTTCTGTGTAACTTTAGAAAATGCAGAAAAAGGGTTAATACATTTGGATGGGTAAGTAGGTGAATGGGAGCTTCGTATTCAATTTCGCCCTTTATTTAAGTAATTAACTTAAGCTTACTTCATTCTTATTTCACTGTGATTTTTTCATTTAGGTGACATCATGTTCACGTATCCTTGTTTCCATATTTTGCTTATCTTTGATTTATTTTGAAACCTTTATTAAATAATGAATGATTTTTGTTTTGTCATTATTTTCTTAAATTAACTATAGACATTTTCTGTGATGAAGATGGTACAAGAGAATTCCAGAAAGGCTATTTCTGCCCTGCCTGTAAGTGCGTTACAAAATATATTAAAGTCTAATACGGACTTCCAACACTTATCCTGGGCTATTTTGTTTTTAGGTGAAGGAACACTTTCAGGAAAATACGATGTGGTTCGAGTGGAGCTTCARCCTTCAGAGCAATACAAATCGGTATGCAAGACTAATATGAGTTTTTATGTAGAACACTCCATTTTCAGAAAATGTGTTCAGTCATATTAAAAGTCAAGAAAAGTATCACATATTAATAAAATTCTTGCAGATGGTTCTTGCTGGTCAGCGTCCTGAGATTATCATGGAGATAGCATCACGTGCTTTATCGTTCTGGACRTACCAGGTGCGAAGTTTACCGACTAGTCAAGGTTTTCCGATTCACACTAAAAGTGCATTCCTGCTTGTACTCTTTCGCAAGATTATTGCAACCTTATCCTTGGTGATCCTTGGTTAAAATACAAAAATGGACGTTTTGAGATTTGTTGTCTCTTAAACAATAGCTTGGGTAYTCACCTGCCGCAAGCAAGTATCTCTGATTTGTTTGGACATTATTTAGAGTCTACTATACTTAGTTTTTAGCTATATATTACTGACAAATGCACTCACCCCTTATAAAAACCCCTTATAAAATGCTGGATCCGCTCCTGAACTATTAATAATAGATTTTCCAGTAACATCGGAATGCATGATGTTCACATAATAGGCATCTCAAGAGCGAACTTATCAAGAGTTTATTGCAAACAAATTCAAAGAGAAGATCTCTGAAATGGAACAGTACTACGATCAAATGATCGCCAAAGCACAAGCTGAAATCTCATGTATCCTAACATTATCATGATTATTCAATTCTTTGATTCAGTTAATTCAGTTTTTTCTTGACTTTATTAAAAGCTCATAAAAATCAAATATCTGGTAAGYCAAACTATTCTTGGCGTGCAAGTTACGTCATCACCGCCATCATGGCGTTGGATGATGTTGGATGAAAATCACAAAGCATTCCTCATTATTTTCTCTTGCTCATTCATCCCGTGACATGGCGCCGCTATGGCTTTGTTCGTTATTTCTCAGGGGATTCCTGGTCATGTGGCTGCACACGAAGAATGTATCTGATTCAYTTCTGGAGCTGGTATAATAGTGTCTTTTTTGTTATTTGCAGCAAAATCAAAGGGTCTTGAAGAAACCAAGAAGCGGTTAACTGAGATTTCTGAAAAGCTAGAAGACAAAACCAGACAATACCTCAAACTACAAGTAATGATCTTCTCGATTTTTCTGTTTAGAGGTTTGATTCACGCCCCGTCAATTTGCAGATAAAAAAATGTTATGCTGCGTCGTGCGCGTGGCCTGCGTTAACGTACTGGTGTACGTTCTATAGCCTGCGTAGTCCACCCCGCCCCCTCCCCTAGAGCCGCTACGCAGGCTATACGTTCTACAACATCGTACCCAGAGCCCTCAAAACGTAGACTGTTCCCATAGATATGTATGKCTGTTTTATAAATTGATAAATATTGATTGACATTGAACTAATTTAATATTTGTCCACAGGGAATGTATGATTCGCTTAGAAGGTGCGTACATGAAATAGTACATTATTAGCAATAATAAAACCTAATAATTTACATATTTTTTCAGGAAAGCTATCACACCTACTCTGATGTTGACAGGAGACGAGAAAAGACCAATCGACAGTAGAGCGGAGCAAGTTCGAAATTCCTTTTTATTCTCTCTAGATACAGGAGCAGGTGCGTGAAGAAACACAACGACTTTCARGCTATTGGCTCTAAGATAATGTAATGCTTCGATTGTTTAATTCTTGGTAATCATYCTTCAAAATGCATTGTCAATAATTCCCGTCATCTTATGAGCTGCATGGTCGGTGACATATGAACATYRATCAAATGTTGCCAATCAGACTTTGCTATCCTAGGATATAAAAAACCTTTTGCATTYCAATAGATCTTCTACGCACATCCTCATCAAATAGCGTYAATCCTGCTGTTATCCCTGTACAAGCCGAGCGTAAGTAAATAATRTATGCATTCATGATATATTTCCTTTTTTCACCTTCCTCACACCCCCCTGATTTCAACTTGAGTTATAAGTGACCTTGAATACCAACATACCATCTTACATTAACCTTTGGGTTCAAATTTGAGTGTTTTCCCAAATAGTATAACACCGTCTTATTATTGATCGGTAATTGTTACAGGTGACTTTGCACTCCAACAACGCGGACTTCCTGCTCAACGGCCTTCATCTTGTGCAGCTACACCAACATGCCCAACTGATCATCAAATCCAGAAAAACTTTACTGTGGATTTTGTCAGTACTCCAGACTTAACAAGAAGGCTCTATCGTAAGAAATGAAAACTAAACCAAATGACGTTGAGAAGTACAAAAATCCAAACGATATTTTTTGCCATTTTCAAGTTGTTAGTTTTTCATGTTGTTAGTACGAGAGTCGTATTTTCTTATCAGCGTCTAAAACAGATGATATTTTAAAAGTTGCAAAATGTGTTTTCTCTTAAATGAATGTTAATGAAACAGATTAATGAAAAWAGTTCAAAAGAAAAAGAAAAAAAAGTTTWAACCCGCAACCTCTAAATAAGGCGCGACGTTATGGAAGTGTCATTCTAAATTTAATTTAATTATTATTATATTTTGATATCGTTCAAACATCCAAAAAAAAAGAAATGCTTCTAAAAAAAGAAGAAAAAAAAATGCTGTATCTGTACAGATATTATCGCAGAGTACTCAATAGAATTGAATCACATAATTGAATCAATTGAGATTTTTATTGTGTATATATTCACCATGAAACCAATAAAGACAACCTACAGTTACATGAAACAAAGTTTTGTCGACGTGTTTAACGAGTGTTTATGCTCGTATGGTCTTATTATAGTAAATAAAGTCACCATATATGGTATCAAATTTAAACCCTTTTAAAAAACAAGTGTAGTATCACCTTTATTACTGTACAACCATGTCGTTCTCTGTTAGTGTCTAACATCTTATAAAATTTTACATCATATAGACATATTTGTGTTACCAATGATAGTCCTTTACAATAGAATTTCATGTATCATAGTTTCCAATGATTGATTTTCTTAAATTAAGAATAAGAAAACGAAAGMATCTTCATTTCACTTTACGTAAAATCGTCAACGTGAATCTTGAGTTCGACTTCAGGCCTTCGATAACGACCCCTTTGTCTCTCTTCTCTTCGTCTGCAAAAAGGTAGAAAGTGTTAAAATTGAACAACATGAATTGTAATTTAGTACTCCAGTTTTAGCAAACGATCAAATACCACAAGCGTTTTTTCCTCTAGCTCGCTTTTCGTCAAAAATATAAACCATAGAGAAAGAATTGAAAAATGAAATTAACCTGCGAATTTTTTCATCTCGGATTTGTTGCAGATTTTCTTTTGCCGCTTCGTCCTCAGGAGTGCTGAAGTCATCAGTGTTGTCTATTGATATATCCTACAATACGACAAAAACAAAATGGACGTTATGCCCAGTTCGGAGAAGGATTTGTGGTTTACGTTTCTAGTCTGCGGAARCTACACGTTGAACATTGCAAAAGGGAATATGATTCTTTTCAGCCTGGGTACATCAGGTAATTAAACGGGGCATAAAACTTAGCCTACCAGCTTTCATATTTACCTTGATTCCTATAATATCGCCATCTTGTAGATGATAAGGCGAGTGTCGAAGGTTGACCTTTTTATTTTTTGAGGATTGTTCCTGAATACATATATGAAGCAAAGAGTTATAAATGTTATTATTCTTCGGCATTATTTCACTTTCTACTAGTGACTAAAATAGGTAAATAATTCTTTTGAATAATTCTTAAATCTTACCTTGTCATAAGGTTTTAAGGATATAATAAGCCAATCGTATTTATTTCGTAGGTATTTTGCTATGGAGAGGCTGCTTAGAGGAATGTCAAACGTTTCACTGATACATTGATGTAAAGATGAAGACGTCGCTCCATTCGGAGCATCGTAGATTAACTGAAACGATACAATGATGAGAACTTTTCATAACGCACTTTAGATATTTTGGTCGGGAAGAGAGAATTGAAGTAGAGGCTCTGGGGAAATAATAGATAACCCTTTTGTCCCGGTGGATCTTCGCCTTTAGCTCTTTTGTACCCTTGTCCCTTCGCTTGTGACCAGCCAATTTCCCATCATGCTTTGTTCTAATAAATTAGCGTTGGTGTGCAGTATCTATACAGTTCATTTCTAGAGGCGATTTCGTCTACGTACTTGTTTCGATGGCTCATAACATCGTTGACCACATATTATTTTCTGAACGTTTAATAAAATGGCAGACTGACTGTAAATAAATAAAGTTCAGCAGCATTTGAGTGATATAGAAGACAGTACAAGTATAATACGGAGTGTTTTCAACTAAACCAGGAAAAACCGAGAACAATGCAGTTTAGGATGAAGCAATTGCAGCGTGCTTTCTTCTTACTAACCTGAGCTCCTCCTTTGATTTAAGCACTTGCACACTTAGTTTTCTTGAAGAGCACACCTTTGAAAATCTACAAAGCAGACAACATTTAGCATCACCTTGCCTTCTATAGATGCAACGAACCAATACCAATAAGCGAACCTAATAAGACTCTAAATCACTATCATGACGTACCTTAGAGTTTTGTTATGGTGACGCAGAACTCTTGTAGGATACCCCTCCTTAATGTCTTGGACTCTTAAGAATTCAGGCGATGGTACTTGATACTCTTTTGCCTGTAAGAATAGTAATACCTTCCTGAATCAAGGATGCGCATATAACAGAGTATAACTTGTCCGTAAGTTAAGCCAAATACCCAACATGTATAAAGTATAAAGCACTCATATCGAACCTGCAGGATAATATCGATAATCTTCCTCTTGAGATCAACCAACATGGCATCCATGGATATCTCAATTTCACCGAGGAATTCAAGCTGAAAAAGCAACTTGTCTCTTTGTCAGATTTATGCAGTCAATGCTGTAAGCAGAATTCATTATAAACTTACATCTTCTACTTGTTTGTCGTTGCTTTCATGCTGAGATACTCCTAGTAGCTCTAAAATAGCATAAACTTTATTAACACTTACTTTATTTATTTATTTTAGAAGTCACTGAATGACAACTTAAAGGATCACGCGCAYCCATGAATCTTTGCGCTATTTTTTACATACGAAAATTTACCCAGGTTTGATTTTCAACGAATCAGAAATCACCTTTCAGCAAACGAACAACTCAAAGGGTATTGAATGCATATGTRCCTTCATGCTCGACCCTCCATATTCAATGCGAAAAAAGATCGACTTACCCTGCAGTCCTGAAGTAATCCAGGATATCACACTCGACCCATGCCCCTCTCCATCATCATTGCCTTCTTGACATCGTTTGAAAAGCCACAATGATAGCCGTACAAAACCCTACAACACCATTCGCATGTGTTTATTTGTTGTTTAATTGCTTATGTAGTTATTAGGGTGACCAATTTATAGTACCTTTGGTGGAAGTCGTCCTGTTTTCACTACCAAAAGGTMACCATGGTTCACCTCAGCTTTGTCAAGTGTGTCTTCCTCATTTTCAATTATTCCTGTTTCCTCACCGTACCAATTGGTTTTACTTAGGTGCCACTCAGAACCTAAAAGCAAACGAAAGTCTTTAGAAAATTGCAAAACCAAACATTTCTGGACAATCAAGGAGGCCGAGCGGTTAAAAACCTGTGTCATTTACCTTCAAGACCAGCTTGTTCTATCATCAACCTTAAACACTATATATAAAAAGAGATCAGATTTAATTTTCCAACAAAAATATTAACATCGTAATGAATACTTACTTTACTGATGGTACATGATGTTTCTAGGATTATTTCYTCTTCATTTCGAGGGAGACCRACTACAGCACAGTAAAACCGGATGGCAATCTGAAGTGAAACGTTTGTGTTATGTACACCACAGCACAAACACACCGCTAAAATTTAGCGATCGTTTTTGCATTCAGTTTTCAATGGTATTGTTTTCCAACGATTAGATATGATTGTTTTATCATTATTCTACCCTATCCCATTCCATCATTGCTTTTTCTATCCCATTCTATCCCATTTTTCACTATTCAACCGAACTTACTTGGTTTTCCATTAGTGGTGTTCCTGATTCAATGACAATCTTATGTTCATCGGTCAGAAGCAGCTCTTCTATAGTGTGATGCTCGTGCACTAAGAAATAAAAAGAAAAACGTTTATGCTTTTAAAGACAAATTAACGCACAAAAAGAAGAAAATAACAAAAACAAGGAAATAAGTGCTTACACGGAGGTCCCAGCCCATGTGTGACGTCATCCACTCGTAGAATACAATTTTGATCTATAAAACAGAATTAACAAACTGTAACCAACACAATCAACTAAATTTTATCATTATCATTTTATCATTACCTGCGCTTATTCTAAAATCTGACGAAGACATTATTTGTTTTTTAAGCTCACCAATCGTCTAAAAGAAAAAAGTGGCAATCACGACAGCTAAAAAAATAATTTATATAACGAAAACACTGGTACTATTACCTTATGTTTGTCAACATAAAAAGTTGCCACTGGAGGACGCTCATCAGTAGCTGTACCCTGACTATCGGAGCACTAAAAAATACCAGGAAAAATGCATGAAGTAACTGGAAACAAGGTGAAAATAACTGGAAATAAGATAGAATACAAGGTGGGAGTACTTTCTCTGGTATCCAGTTACTGCACGTGTTACAAATTACAATCAGGGATTGACTGGATACCTCATGAATAATTAATGAGCATGATTTCAAGGCGGTTTACTTGGAAAAGGAGAATTAAAAAGGTGATTAGTGATATTGAATACGATTAAACGAGGCAAGTATCGAGAAAACTCAGGAAACAATCTTATTATTAGGTAATTATCATCTTTGTCTTATTAATATCTTTCTAGGAAAGATAAAAGTGAGAAAGAAAGAGAAAATAAAAGAGGAAAGGAGGTAGAAAAGAAAGGAAAGGGAAATGAAAAAAAGGAAAATGAGAGGGAAAGAAAGAGAAGACATAATCTCATATGTAACCTACGTTAATGTGATTTTCTACAAGTAAACTGATCTGGTTGTCACGTTTCTCTGCTTCTGAAGTGGCTAAACACAATGGATGACAGCTGGAATTCCTGGCAGAAAAACAAGACGCTGCAATTCAGATGTGTTGATCTTTTGCATTCACTCCCTTTTTCGGTATGTCTTAATTATATCCCAATTTGTTTAAAATGGATAAATCATATGTTTCTCAAAAAAAAAAAAAAAAAAAAAAAAAAAAAAAAGAGAGAGAGCTACATTCTTCGTTTGTGAATGAAAAAGAAACATTCATACTTTTGCTTGACTTTCTTGTCGACAATAAGCCTTTGTCCGTCAATAAAATCCATCGCTTGCAGTGTATTTCCATCCTGTGAGAGATACATTTTCAAAAATCAGTTCCTGGGAAAGTGGCTTTATTTGGTTACAGCCGAGACAGGAATTTCAAACCAAAGACATTTGCGTCCCTGCTGTTTCTCATATAAAACGTTTGCAGCAATCAGGTTTTCTTTCTGCATGATTTTAACTTACCAACGATGCTCCTAGCTCTTCCACTTTGGTTTTTGATCCTAGAAATACATATTTGAAATTATACTTTTGAGCAGTCTGATTCATAATAAAGGATAGTTTATGTCGATTACTACTATTTTGATATTATTATCTTTAGGGTTTACAACAAGTTCGTATTGCGAAAACGTTTCAATTGGGCGAAATGTGAAATCACTATTTCACGGTTTGAGTGCTTCCTCTCTACATACGTTTCGATAATTTCATAATACTGAGAATGAGCTTTGACATCTTTATTCCTGTGATTTTACTGATGGAGACCTGAAAAAAGATTCGTTCATATCAAACCGAGAATAACGATAGCATTATTAGATCTTATTAAGCCAGGCTTGTGATAGAATAGTGACCGGGAAAGCCGAAAGACGTTCGGCCGAGTTCAGGTTTGACTAAAATTGATTAAACACAATAAACAATGTTTCCTTACGCCCCAATCTCACAAGTTTTCTAGGATATAATCTTCTCTGAAAATAATTAAGCGAATTCTCTACCTTCAATTCATTCAAAGAAGAGTCTTTCGGAAAAGCTTTTTGTACATCGATAGACTTTCCATCTTTCAGAGGATAAGTTATCGATAACAGTACAGGCTCACAATCTCTGCCAGTACGAACATAATGCCCATCGACCTAAACACAAAAACAAAAAGCAAAGTAAAACTACTGGTTATAAAAGTACCTTTTATTTGTCTATGAGTGTCAACTTCAGACTCTAATATTGGTAAAATTCATTCTCAAGGAAAGGACATTGAATAACTTGCTGCTAAACTGAACGCGAGATACAAGGGCGGGGCGACATGTCGGGCGGGGCCATGGGAGAAAATGCACCCTTATAGGCAGCAACCCTTCTTCATTTCATAGTACAGTGTTTAAGAAWGAATATAGAGTAATGATTTTTATACACCAACATCCAAGTCTATACCTGTTTTCCGCACCAAATAAAAAGCTCAGACCCGTCATTCACATCCCAGTCAAGCAATGAGCGTGTCTTGCAAGCTAAAACAATAAAACACTGTTACAGGCGAGTCATTATTTCCAGAACTTTATTTCCTAGTGCCTAATTTCGCTCTATACGGAAGGGTATCCTCAAGTCCGGCTGGCTCACTACGTCCCAGTCTACTCTCTGTCCATCGTGTACGTGATATCGAAGACGTTGATTGGACTTTCATCGAAGTAGAGAACAAGAAACACTTTAGTAGATATAGATACACTAAACTATGGACTAGTACAAATCTAGCATTCTGATCGGACTAATGGACTATGCCCTATTCATGTTATAAAACGTTTATAAAAGTCGCCTTTTATATTCGTATTTCTTTATTAATTTTGTCCTGTAGTTTGGTGGATACTAAAACAGTTAGACCACTCATGCTCTATGGACTACTCGTAGTCCACTCGCTGTAATCGATCTAGAGGTCTCACCATACCTGTGATGTCGTCATAGAGGTGGATTCCTGCTGACAGTTGCTTTGCTTTATGGACTATTAAATCATGAATCACTTCTTTACTCAAAAGACAACGCTATAACGAGATTTCAAAGGTAAGAATAAGTGAAAGTTATAAAGGCCTGCAATAACAAAAGCGAAAACCCTCAACTTTCAGTTTCAAACTTTTAGTTTTTCTGTGTCGTCAATCATTAAAACAGCCAATCCCAAAGGGCAAAATATAGTGGACGTCCTAGAACGTTCAAGGGTATAGTATAGTAATTGGATAGATTTAGGGCTGCGTAAAACGAAAAAAAACGCGTTTCCGTTACGTTGTGTGTTTAAGAATGACTCCCAGTGCTATCTCCCCCCCGGATCTCCCCCCCGGATAGACCTCGCTTATATCGTTGAACAGCAAAATAACTCGTTAGGTTCATAAAACAATAACATATCACAATTACAGAGAAAACAATCCTGATGGGGTGGAATATTTTTCTTACCTGATCGACAAGACGGAGAAAATCATCTACAGTTTTCCGTCTGTCCAGAGTAAATACTGAAGGGCCGATAGAGACTTCCTGTAATAATAAAAAAGGTCAGGTATAAACTCATTTTTGTAAAAGAGAAAGAACGAAAGATTAGTAATTAGAATGAAAGTGAAAATGACTGAATAAATTCAATAAATAACAAAATACACAATGAAAACAACGAAACTGCAAAATAACAAAAATAGCAAAAACAAGAAAGAAAGAAAGCGGGATTTATTTATCCAAATCATGAAATCCTAAAATCAGTACAAGGACCTGGGTACGATGCCGGTACGGTGCTCACTAATCCTCCAAGCTACTTAACAAATCAATTATCGAATCGATAGGACCTCATGCCCTTGACTTCCGTCTTATCAAAATCTCATGGAAAGTCAAGGTAAACAATGATCGCCTTTACATATACGTTCTTGAACCGTAAAACTTTTGTATTGGTTCTATAAATGCATTTATAAATCAAGCGTCTCTGGTCTAGCAAAGTGTCGTTTATTAAGTCATGTTCAGCTTCACGTCACACAATGTTCACGTGCACACTCATGTGACTCACGTCACAGAGGTCATTCACCTCAAACAAGTCTATTATTCCATCCTCGGCCTYACAAACAGTCTTCGAGATATCACTGCATCTGACACTACTGGTCAACGATGGAGGCACCGTTATACCGAAAACTCTCCAACGCTGTGCTTGGGCAAATTTCCAGGGCTTTATCTTTAAGTGAAGAAGGGGCAATCTCATCATTGAACGAYACATTATTGTTGAATGTATTCTTCTATTTACCTACGCCAGACCTTTTGTGCGTGTCCAAAGTTTGCAAAAGATGGAATCAGCTCTCCTCTCATCCTATGYTRTGGAAATCAGTAGATCTGAGACGSTATTCMAAACCTTTGCACGACAAATGTCAGCTTCAGTACGTAACCAAGTCGTATTTGGCGTACAAGGTAACTTCACTGGATATGAGCGGTTTTACRATTCCACAAGCCRTACTTAACACTYTAACATCGTCTTGTCCTGACCTCAAGAAACTAGTTCTCAARTCAGTAACGTTTTGTAAAGACGACGACGACAACCAAGTGCTGTTTCCAGAAAATCTGGAATACCTAGACTTACGTTATTCAGATGGTCCTATTGCTGTTTATCAAGCAATGGCAAGGCAATTTAGCAACCTGCACTGGCTGGGTATGTGTGATGCTCTAATCATCGCCCTATCAAATGAGAAAGTCCTACCAAATGCATTTGCGAGCTTAAAAAAATTAGAAAAGCTCGATGCGACACACTGCCAACTTGTGAGAGACACCTTCCTGTTTAAGTTCTGCCAATGTGAAAACCTGAGGCTCTTAAGCCTAAGGAAATGCTTAAACATATCGGGTGAATCTCTACCAGTTCTGCTTGCAAGGTTGAAAGGCTTAGAAACTCTCATTCTAGATGGTACMAGTGTGCAAGACGAGTATCTAAATCTAGTTGACTGGGAAAACACTAGTATCAAATACTTAGAGCTGGGATGGTGTTCGTTCATCACAACGGAGGGCCTACAAGGTCTTCTACCAAAAATCGCCCGCATATCAACACTAGAGTACCTAGGCCTTTGCAACGTGGGACAAGGACAAGCTGTAACTGACCACATCCTAAAAGAGCTGGCTCAGCACCTACAACAAGGTACTTGCCCAAAACTGCACTCACTGAATCTAAGCTTTTCTAAGCAAATCACCGAYGAGGGGCTYGGGACATTTGAGAGCATGTACTATATACAAACACTAGATGTCACGAAATGTGCTCAGATTACAGAAGAAGATGATGACTGCATATTCTTTGAAGCGCCAGAAAACAAGGAAAGAACAGGTGTATGTGAAGTGATTAGTGAAGAGAAGGATTCCACGACCGATTCAACGCAAC